AAGTCAATGAAATTGTAAAAAGAGAATATGAAAAATCAAAGCAAACACTTAGATACAAGGGAGAATTCAGGAAAAGAATGGGGGAAAAGTGGTAGTTATTCATATATGTCTCCCTCAGTAAAACATACAAGGAAAGATTATCATTCAAAAAAAAAAAAGCTGTAGAATTAATATTTTCATTAATCTTACTCAAGGGTGGCTTTTAAGTTAAACATAGATGCCATGCTGTCTTACCAAGAATTCAAGAAATCTTCTAGCAGAAATGTACATTATTTCTGAAAAGCCAGTTGGGGCTAAATTTTAAAACTATACAACTGCAATGTTGACAGATGTAACAGAAAAATAATCCACTCACAGCAGAATTTACTGGCATTAAATCTGATGTTAGGCTGCCCTCTTTGACCACAGAACCATTAAATATCCTAAGCTGGAAGAGACCCACAAGGATCACTGAAGTCCAACTCCTGGCCCTGCACCAAACAATCCAAAATTCAACTATGAATTTGAAGGACTCACATCCTTTCTTGAACAAATGCTTCAGTAATTGTAAACCATGGAAAGAGAAACTGTAGAAGTATGAGGCCATCTATTGATCTGTAGTGTTCATCCGAGAGCAATGGCATCAGGCATGAACCCACTCCTGAGGGAACGCTCATCGCAGCCCAGTCGTGGCATGGATTCTCCAATGCAGTGACAAGTACACACAGATGATGCAAATCTGTCAAACTGCTTTTGAAATAGATCAAAATCAATTGCCCTACTTGGCTATAAGATCCCCTTCTCCTCTCCTCCCTTAGCTCCAAATATAAATGGTAACCAAAATGCTGCCTTTGCTTACTTCTCCTACAGATCTCACAATGGTACTAAGTGGGCAAACTTCTTGAAGAACACACATGTGATAAAAGCAAAGCTGAAGTCATTGTTAAATTATGCAGAATTCAGGAGATCTCTGCTGTTTTCTGAGCTGTGTCCTTAATGAAAGGAGACTTCCCCAAAGCCTGGGATTTGGAACTCTTTTTTCACGGATCATTGTCACTCAACTGGCTTGTGCTTAATTTGAAACTGGATTCTGTACCTTCTTACCTGGCTACAACTCATGAGTCAGAAACAAACAGCAGCTCAGAGACAGAGGATTAACTTCCTTGGAGCAGTACTAGACTAAGTAGCAGCATATAATCAGACCAGAAGATAAATCAAGAACTTCAATATGCCCAGTAATACAGAAATGCCTAAAACCCACAAAATAAGTGTACATTTCCCAAACAAATCTGGTCACATTTGGTTGACACTGCTGTGAGGCTGTAGTGACTGTGCAGTTTACTGAGCAAGCTGCTTATCATAGCTGTCTTGCCATGAGCCATACCTGTCTCGTTCTCTCCACAAAGCCAATTTCTGCAAAATGGAAATGGAACATTTCAAAATTAGAATTGCACCACTGAGATGCTGCATTTGTTTAATTCATCTTGCATCACAAAACCTGTGTGGACATAACAGGTTTTGAGGACATATGTAGTGTCTCACTACAAAAAAAAAAAAAAAAAAAAAAAAAAGAGGGGGGAAAGAACAAAGAAAACATTTGTAAGTATGACCCTGATCTTTACTATTTACAAACAAATTAAATTCTACAGTATTTCAGGAAAGCATTAGTCATTCAGTAATGTACCACCTTTTTTTGCTAAAATCTAACAGGTCAAGGAAAAAATAACACAACTCCCAAAAGGCAATTTGTTCTACTAGAAGATACAAACAAAGATAAACTATAGGTTTTTCTGTGTATCTAAATTACTTTGGTATTGAACAGCATGCGTAGCTTGAATGTTGCCTCCTTCTGACTTCAAACCTACACTATAATTTGATTATGGTAATTCTCTTTCCTGGTTTTCAGAAGAACCAATTTTTCATTCTGAAGTATCATATCAACAAAATCACAATACATTACCTTAGCAATTGGAAGTGCATCAACATAATAATCCATAGAGTGATAACTAAAGTCACAGTTAAGTATTTAATCTCAAAAACTATCAAATGAATATAGCAAGTGAGAAAAGGACAATATGTCAACAAAATGATTTCCCAGCCCTCCTGTGAAAATGAGAACACTTTGCTTTCCATTTCACACTCAAGCTGCAGAAACAGGAAATACAGAACATTTCCTTATGTCAGAAGGAAGCCCAAACCTTCAGACTACTGCCTAATTCAGTGTAGGCCCCCAAAAGTAAATAGCCAGAGCAAGGAACAGCCCTCTGCTTTACTTTAAAACAATCATAAATCTCTCCTTGCCTGGAGGACAGCACTTAGTACTCCTAAAGCTCAGGTCATCATATCATTAATTCTATTGTGCCCTCCTCAAAAAGTATTCCTGGAGCAATAGTGGTAACTAGGAAGTGCACATCCCAAAACCTTTACCACAGGCAAAAATGAGTAATTTTAACAGGCAAAGGTTAATGCAAGAGAAAAATATATAGTCAAACACAGGAGAAAAGTAAATAACTGCTTCATTTCCCACAAACTAAATTTAGTGAAAGCAGATAGTAGGAACCTGGGTCAAAGCACTGCACTGCAGATGAGTCACACACAAATCAGTGGATAAAAATATTTTGCCTCCTCTTCTCCTTTATGATCTTTCAGAGAAGAACTTTGCTTAATTAGCTAATTCCCCCTTTGTTAGTCTCTTTTTGTTAGAAATTATTTCAGATGTATTTTGTCTGAGGTCCCAGTTTTATGGCCTTGGGATATTAAATTTCAGCATTTGAGATAAGCCACTCTATCCCTGTCCTGTCACTCCATCTCCATGTGATGATTGTAACACTTAAATCATTATAGAAAGCATTTAGTGCAATTTTACAAGATAGCTTATGCATTCTTGCAGAGAAAGGCTGCCAAACTGCTTACCAGAAGACTGGTGATCTTCAGTACACACAGTCTGCATGTTCACAGGTGTGCCTTGCCATGCAAGGCTGAAATCACCCCTCCTTTGCACACTACAGACACATTTGCCCCTTTCTTCTGTTTTGTGTATATTTTCAGGACAAAACCATGCTCCATTTCAAATCCTCAGCGTAGGTTTATACTTTAACTTCTTGCTGTCCCCTCACATCAAAAACAAAAAGCATGTAGACTACACATTCCAAATAGCACCCAACTTCTCTTCAAGTCAGATTCTACAGACCAGCCAAATTTGCTTTGCCAACACCTGATAAAATGTCAGACTTTGTTTTTACCTCAAGTTCTAGTGTCTCAGCACTTCACTTGGACTGAGTTGTGGTAATGACTGCCTCAAAGTCAATTGCCCAGCTTGTTTTAGTTTCATTCCATGGGTAACATATATGCAAAGATCTGACAAATTTACACAGTTACCGCTTAACAAACAGGCTGTACGCTAACTGGGGCCAGGGAAGGCTGATTGTGAGCTTTGACTAACTGCTAATGAGCGAAAACAGTAAAACTTTACCTGAGAACCAGATAAATAGAACGAGTAAGCAGGCCATTATGCAAGAGAAAGTTGTAACTACGGCAGGAAAGGAAAACACCGATGCAGTGACAGTACCCCATTGCAAACCAGTATCAGCAAAAGGGCAGGGAGAACTTGCTTCACTTACAAGGAAAAGCCACGCAGTGATCTCAGTTTCTGAGATCTCATCAGATGCATGGAAAAATAGAAGGGGAAAAAAGTCTGATTCAAAACTTTCCTTCTCATCTCACTAGCAATTAAATGAAGTTGAATCAGATTTAACCAAATTAGCCAGACCAACTAGTCCTGGAATCAGAGACAGCCTTTAAGTATTCAAGAGAACAACTCTCATCCATATCTTTAGATAAAGTTTGAGCAGACAGAAATGGTGGCACTTCACTGAGAAGTAAATGACTTTTGAAACCCTTCCTAAATCAGAAAGATTAGGAAAATTTATGGTCATTTTCAACAGCCTACACCAGTAGAGTTCAGTAAGAGCATCCTCCTGCAGTTTTGTGTTCCTGTAACAAGTTGTCCTGGTTGCAGAAAGGGGTCAGAGCTTAGCACTGTGACCCGGTTGTTATTCTATACCATGCATGCCATCAGTGGAGGGCACGGTTTCCAAGGAAAACACTAGTGCTTCACTGGGAGTTGGCCACTTTGCCTGCCCACCCCTCATGCTGCCTCTGGTCAGAGGACACAATCTACTGGAAGCATCCACCATTATTCTTGTTCCCAGTGGTGAACACACATTTTTGTCACTAAAATACCTTCTTTTTATATCCTTTTACTATTAATATCTCTGTTGTTACTGTGCCACATCTTATTCTTGCTTTGTGCTTTCAGTAAATTGCTAGTTCAACTCACAATTTCTGCTTTTGCCCCTCCCTTACTGAAGATGTAAAGGAGAAGGGGAGTGGCTTACTTGGAGTTTATTTATTTTCCAGTAAATGCTAAAAGAAAATACAAGTTAAATAAAAAACATTAATATAATCAGAGGCAGCACTTGTGTTAATGAACAACTTATTATATTTGCCCATTTTGTCATACTCAACTTTCAAAAGTACACATTCAAGGCTGTGGTGTGAAACATTGGTGTCATCATCATACTCCATCTGGACCAGTTTTGTGTATGCAGCACTATGTACTTGGCATACAAAATTCAGACATTTTGGAAATACAGCTCATTTGAGAAGACACTTGCACATCATTCCAACACCAATACTAAATGTTCTGTGGGGTCAGAAAGAATGTATATATTAAGTTCACAAACTTGAGCATTTGAACGTATTCATATATACCCCTTAACTGTAGTGAATGGTGTTCTAAACCCTTTTCTATATTGAAGTTTTCCTCTTCTATAAAAACTTTTTTATAGAAGAGGAAAACAATAAAAACTTCTATAAAAACTTTTTCATAATTTTGACCAACAACTTTCAGCTGGGAGTTCATTTTCTTCCTATTAGCTGGTACAGCACTGTGGTAGAAAAGACTAATGCTGATAACACACTAATGGTTTTAGTTATTTCAATTATAAAACTATTCCTATCTCAGTCCATGGTCATGGATATGACCTTTTTTTCAGTTTTCTTTCCCATCCCACTGTGGGAGTCTGCAGACCGGGGTGAGTGAACATCTGTGTGGTACTCCACTACTAGATGGAGTAAAACCAGGGCACCACATTAAGCCATTTAACTACAGCTTTCAGTAACCTTGGTGTGCTTTCAGACTGCCACTGTACTTCAGTTCCTACAGTGAATTCACATCTTCATATACCAGGGCTCTCTCCATGTTAATCTTATTTTCAACAGGTCCAGTCAAAGATAAAAATTTCTGTAAGAATTCAAATTCAATGTTTAAGATTCTGTCTTTGGTGTACTTCCCAAGCTTTTTGTTTCACATGCTCTAGAATGTTTCAAATCATAGGCCCACACAGTGTCTATTCCCTCTCCAGTAGTATGATCTGGAATCCAGCAAGGGAAAGGAAAGCGACACGCAATGATCCTGGCATTAGACTCAAGTTCTTCTTCTAGCTTCTTCTCCAGCTGTGGCATCTGTTGAGTTACAAGAAAAACCTCTCAGAAACAGTAAAAAACAAGAGCATTCTCTTCAGAATCTAATTCAGGTGTTCAAGAGAAATCCAAGACTTGAGTAACTTTTTTTTTTTAAATCTTAGGAAAGTATTCGTGGTAAGTGTTTTGGCTTTGATGCCTTGACAAAGAATATCTAAAAGCAGAAAATGGCTATTGTGGCCCCAATTGGTGAGATCAAGGAAATCATAACTTTAAGATCTAAAAATTAAATCAAAACCCATAAATTATCCCTTAAATTAAAAAAAACAAAAAAACAAACAAAAAAAAAACCCCACAACTGCAGGCAAAAGACTTTGCATGCTCCAATTCAGGATTCTCTTCACTGGGATTCTTCTCTGAGGGAATTAAAGTTCAGCCCCCTGAATTTATGCTGCTCATGAAACCCCAAGGTTCATGAGCTATTGTGTGATACTCAAAAGCTCAAAATGTACAGTCTAATCCTGAGACCAATCCTGAGATTGGTCAAGGCATCAAGACATCACACAGATAACAACCCAAAGCAAATATTTTGCTGTCAGTCTATGGTAAAATACTGTTACATTAAATAGTATTGAAATTGAGCTTAGTCAAATTCACACTCCATTAACAAAGGCATGTGAATCCCTGCAGCAGCGTGCCATGAAAGAGGATGTAGAATCATGGAATAGTTTGGATTGTAAGGGATTTTTAAAGGTAGTCTAGTTGAACACCCCTGCCATGGGCTGGGACATCTCAAACTAGATCAGGGCGCTCAGAGCCCCATCCAGCCCCATCTACTGCCTCTCTGAGCAACCCGTTCCAGGGTTCCACCACTGCATTTGTAAAATTTTTCTTACTTATATCTAAGATGAATCTGCCCTCTTTTAGTTTAAAACTATTACCCCTTGTCCTGTCCCTACAGCCCCTACTGAAAAGTCTGTGCCCATCTTGTTTACAAGCCCCCTTTAAGTACTACAAGGCCACTCCCTAGAGTCAAGTCTTCTCCAGGGTGAATCACCCCAATTCTCTCAGCCTGCCTCCAGGAAAGGAGCTCCTCTGAACCCTCTCCAACAGGTCCACATCCCTCTTGTGATGAGGTGCCCTGGATGCTGCACTCCAAGTGAGGTCCCACCAGAGCAGAAGGGGGCAGAATCCCCTCCCTCCCCTGCTGCTTTGGATGCAGCCACGCTGCTTTGGATGCAGCTCAGGACATGTTTGGCTTTCTGGGCTGTGAGTGCCCATGGCTGGGTCCTATCCAGCCTCCCATGCACCAGCACCCCCAAATCCTTCTCAGCAGGGCTGCTCTGCTCTGTTCATTCCGCAGCCTGTGTTGGTACTTAGAGTTACCCTGGCCCAGGTGCAGCACCTTGCACTTGGTCTTGTTAAACCTCGTAATGTTCCCATGGGCCCACTTCTTGTCCAGGTCCCTCTGGATGGCATCGTGTCCTTCAGGCACATCAACTGCACCACTCAGCTTGGTGCATCTGCAAAATCTGCAAATTTTTCTTAGAGTGCACTCAATCCCATTGTTTTATGCTATTGATGAAGACATTAAGCAGGACTGCTCCTAATACAGACCCCTGAAGGACACCAATTGTAGCTGATCTTCATCTGGATGTTGATTCATTGACCACCACCCTATGAAAACAGCTATCCAGACAACTCCTTATCCACTGAACAGTCCATCCACCAAATCCATCCCTCCCCAGCATAGAGAGCAGGATGCTGAGGGGCACCGTGTCACATACCAAGTCTCCTTGGTTGAATACCTACAGTCCAGCTTTCCTCCATCCACAAAAATTGAGAGGATATGAAAGTCAGAGGAAATACCACTACTTTTCTAGAAGAGAGCAACACCCTAACCAGTCAAATGTCAAATGCTCTTTTTCTAAGAAGTGTTTTGCAAATTTTTTTCCATCCCAGATAGTGATTATGTTCTAGGAAAAAAAGAGAAACCTAACAGATTTAGCCACTTTTGTCCTTTGGCAAAGTTTGATGGTATGCTTAAGCAGATCAGCAGTGCACATCCATTTGGAGTTCCTTTTATTCTTACATATTGTATCTATCTGAATGAGTAATTTTAACAGGCTACTTCTGTTACATGTAAAACACTACTTACTTTAGTTATCATGATGTAATGTTTAAATATTAAAAAATTATAAAGGGCAGTAGTTATTAACAAATTTAGCTGAATTTAGGTCGCAAAGACAAAAATACATAAAATTTCAGAAAAAAGATGAAACAAAACCCAAAAGAACATTATTACAGAATAAGATTGATTAAAGAAAAGGTATTTCCTAAAGGCTGCAAAGAGCTTTCACTATCACATACATTCAGGGTGTGCCTTTGATGTAATATCCTATTATAGCTACATTTAAGCTAACAATGGAATATTTTAGGAAAATTACAGTCATAGATCTAATGTACCAAAGAGTTACTCCCAAATATTTTTAAGGCTCTGATTTCATCCACACTGCAAATGCTTTTTAACATTTTTGCTGCCTTAAACAACTAGAAAAATAAACCTACAAGCACCTTCAACAAACTACAAAAATAAGCCCACTTTGTTATCTAAAACTGAGATGAGACACCAGAAAAAAAATTTTTACAGAAAATATAAATATAGATATATACCAATTTTAGGAGCAATTATGAAAATTAGTGACACTGCATATCCCTATTAGCACAAATTAGAAAACATCATTAATAATTCAGCTAAGTTCGACCAAAAATAATTATATCCCTGAACCAGTCAAACTAGTTTTTAAGCTAAATATGTCAGTTACATTAGGTGTTACAATCATACTGTATTTTATGTGAAGCCAGGGTTTGGGGGAATTTTTTGGTGTGTCAACATAGATACATAGTTTAGTAAACCTTTTGTACAGTATGTAATCAGTTAAAATACACACGAGCTGCAAACATGAACACCTGGCAAGAATTCCATCATCCTACCCTGAACAAGTCTCTCTCTGCAATAACTCAGAAACAAACAAACCTTCCCCCCAGATGCCTGCAAGAAAAGGAGAGGTCTTAGTCTGCCCTGAAGATCAGTAAATTCAGGTTTTTAAAGCTAATCTCGGATACGGAATAAAAGCACTGTGTGAAAGCATCAAATCAGGCCACCATTATTAAAAAAGCTAAAGAGATCTATTGTTTCTCAGTAAAAAAGAAGAAATGCATTAAGGTTTCTAGAAAATTAATTTAATCATTCAGGAGGCTGAGCATTAGCAACTTCCAAAGTAAATTCAAAGGGGATCATAAGCAAACAAATGCTCAGGAAACACAAAGGTTCATATGCTTGCATCTGTTCCATTTATGACAGTACTTTTGCTGAAAGAATTTAACCTAGTATTTACTGGATCTACAAAAGTTATTCTGAGCCCTACAGCTACCCTTTCTATCACAGCTGTTACTAATGCGTCCCACTTTATTACATTTAAAAGTTAACTCAGTATTTCTGCAGGGTTTACTCACATTTTCCCAGGGCATTTGTTTATTCCTAGCTTACTGAGCCAGCTTTCCCCACCAGGGCTTTTCCCCTCGGTGCAACGGCAGAATTCCTGACCGCTATTCCGAACGTTTCCAGTGCCCCCTGCCGGAACTCAGCAAGGGAGCACGTAACTGGCAGCAAGAGGAACACCCCGGTGCTCACTAATACCCCACCCTTACCCACTTCAGTTTCCAATACGAGTTACAATTGGAATCTGAAGTAGAGGTTTACCTCTGGTGCCTGGTGAAAAAAAAAACAACAAACAAGCAAGCAAAAAACCACAGAATGGGAAGGTTTATTATGCTTCCTGTTAGTGCTGCAGAAATGTTTTCAGTGTATGCTGTATGGTATGGCATCACACAAAGCTTTTCACCCACTGCATCTCACACCTGCCTTAGCAAAGGAAGAAGCAATACAGAAGCACAGGATGACAGAACTGGGTTTGCTCAGCCTGGAAAAGAGATGGCTTCAGGGGACCCTAACTGCAGCCCGCAGCACCTGAAGGGAGCCTACGAGATGGAGAGGGACCTTCCACAGGCACAGGCAGTGACAGGACAAGGGGGAAGGGCTTCAAACTGAAAGAGAGTAGGTTTTGATTGGGTATCGGAAGAAATTCTTCACATGAGGGTGGTGAGTCAATGGAATAGGTTGCCCAGAGAAGTTGTGGATGTCCCAGCCATGGAATTATTCAAACCAGGCTGGATGGAGCTCTGAGGAATCTGGTCTAGTCAAATGTGTCCCCGCTCATGGCAGGGGGGTTGAAACTAGAGAAGGGAGGTTGTGTGCAGACCTTATAGCAACCTTCCAATATCAGACGGGAGCCTACAGGGAGGAATCTCCTGGTGAAGCTGGAGACGGTCACTTCATCAGGAACTGCAGAGATAGGACAATGGAGAACGGAAAAAAACTGAAAGGGGAAATTTCAGTTAGATATTAGGAAGAAATTCTTTACTGTGAGGGTGGTGAGACACTGGAATACGTTGCCCAGGGAGTTTCTGGATGCCCCAACCCTGCAGTGTTCAAAGCCAGGCTGGATAAGGCTGTGAGCAACCCGGTCTAGTGGGAGCTATTCCATGCACAGGGGGCTTGGGACTTGATGATGTTTAAGGTCCCTTCCAACCCTTAACATTCTCTGATTCTATGATTATTACTGACTGCCTTTTACCATCTGCAGGTTAATTCATTTTGCAGATTAATGTATTAACACTGAACGCCTTGGCATTAAAATAATTAAACATTGTAACAAATAATTAAACAGTATAATAAATAAAATACAATAATATAATAACAATAAAAAATAAATAGTAAGCTTACCATTTGAGGTACTCCAAAAACAACAACATTTCTATAATGGGAAAAAGAAACCTAAAATAAAATTTGAGAATAAATCTTATTGAAAATGGCATTTACAGTTAGAGACATTCTCACCATTCTTTTCTCCTAATCCCTCTAGCTGCACTTCCTTCAACAGGGATTTAGACCAAAAATATGTAAGGAGATCCCTTACCAACTTTTCATCACAAAAATTTCCACATAAAGAAAATTTATACTGCTGAACAGCAAAAAACTTCCACTGTCTGGCCAAGAACATGGAATAGCAATTCTAGAAGCACAGAAAGCATTAATTTAGAAAACACCAATACGACTTTACTAATAACTAAAGAGTTATTTTCACAACTCCAGTATATGATATGCTTTAAGTTCACCCCTTCTTTTGTTAAATGTTAGCTAGCTATAAAAACTTCCCAGGCATTCTAATGACTGAGTTCTTCCACTCAGCACCATCAAGTTCTCCTATGCTCGTCTCTGAACACAAACACCCCCACAGCCAAAAAAACCCTCCCACATAATTCATCAGGCCCAGGCTTGCTCAAGGAGCCCCCTGCTGATAAAGGAAGCACTTGAATAAAGCCCAAAAGCAGCAGCACAGCACACTGAGCCCAAAGAAACCAAAATCCCAGCACAAGGACTCTGCTCAAAGCCCAGTACAGCACCTTGTGGTCAGACAGCATTTCAGCTTTTTCAGGAAAGTATTTCCAAACTTATAAAATCTCTCAATCATCCCAGACCTCTTCTTACATAATTCACTACTTACCTTCCATAAGTCTGAAATATAAAATTTGGTGTTCTGATGTACTCCATCTCTCCAGGCACGATATCTGGAGTACCAGACTAGCCAGGGATTCAATTCATACCCAACAGCCTGGAATCCCTTTTTTGCAGCTGCTATCACCTACAAGAAAGAAAATAAATCTTCACTTTGAAACATAAAAGTCTATTCACCTAAAGAGAAGCACACAGTTTTATTTAAAACATAAATCAAAGGAAAGCACTTTCCTAAGTCACCCTGGGTTTAACACCCAACAGATCAGCTGTATAGTGAACAAAAACCTCAAAACTACATTTTACTACTATTGCTAGTCCTGACTGAAATATAGCCAGGCAAAGAAAATGAAAACAAACATTCAAGGACAAAGCTGTGAGCTTGCAGTACATCTATGATTCATATAAAAGTTTAAATTAACACATTCATTAGAGTGTCTTGGAATTGAATAGAACCAACATTGATCACAGAGACAACAATGCAACTCACAAGCAAAAATGCTCAAAATTAGACCACTTATTTAAAAAGCAGTGAGGGATAGGCAAGTGAGCAGCCCCTGAATCAGAGCCAAAATGACATACCAATAAAAAGAGTGTGAAAGCAATCTTGATCTACATTGAAAAAAAAATTTAAAATGCACTGATTTCTAGAATAAAGGTTTTAACAAAATTTAAAAGGCTACTGCAAACTTCTAATCAGCAATGGCCTGATGATCAATTACAAAACAAGCACGGTGAAATCAGAAAGTACACATTTCTTAACAGAACTTCTCAGCTTTACCTGGACTATATATTTCATACTGTTAAAACAATGCATCTTCCTTCCATCAACACAGAACACTTGCAAATTCCCCAAAAGAACCTGACACTTTTACCACACTTGGAAATGTGGCAAATATCTTCATAGTTATCCACTGATTCCACCTGAGTAAGTGCTAAATAATTAAAAGCATCAGAACAGACTTTTTTTCAGGACAGATGCATCAAGGAAGCACCAAGCATTCCTTTTTAGGCACCTGGCTTTCCAAATAGTCTTCAGCCTCCATTTAAGCACCTATGCAACATATCAGAATAAATGACACAGTACCGACTGAAATGAAATACCTCTGACCTCAGCAGTCACAATGACAAACAGACAGGGCATCAGAAACTGCAGTTTTCTCACGCCTAGGTTTTTTGGTGTTTTTCCTACCCAGGCACAATTCAAGCAATCTTCATAGACTTGGGATTCCAAATCAAATTTTCTTTACATGGACAAATAGTTGACTCATTCACATAAAACATGGGCAAAGGTATCATTCAAGACCTTCAAAAACCACCACCCTGTTGCTAACTCTGACTTGAAGCAGATAGTTACAAAAAAGCAAGAAAAGAAAAACCAAATCACACAATTTTCTACTATACTCTCACCACATTTCACAAACTGGGGCTCAAGCAGTACCCTGGAAACACAGTATCACTTTTTCTTCCATGATTCTCACCATTGGTGGTCTCGCTCTCTTTCGGTGTTTATTCTAGTTTCACCACATGGATTGGGAAGCGGGGAAGCCAGCAGTGCTTCAAACGAAGGTTTGAGGACTACAGTTCTAACCACACCAGGATTTTTATTTTTATAACCCATCACTCATTGCTCGTTTCTTTTTGCACTTCTATCACCTTTATACATTAAAAATCTCACAGCCTCACTTGCTGCAGCTACACGCCTTTTGTGGAATCACAGCTCTTTGTCAGTACCAAGACTCTGACAGCATCTTTTCAAGTGAATGTGCTGTGATTCCCTCCAGTCACCACAATGACATTTTGTCCACTACCTTGGACAAGCTACAGGTAAGATTGCAGCAAAAGCTATTTATTACCCATCAAAACTGAATGTAAACCTTTTTCAGCTTTTATCCTTTCCATAAGGCTCAGACACAACCACCGGATGCCAAAGACAAGACATTTTTAAGTGTGAGAAAACGCAGCCCCAGCACTGTGGCACTTTTTTAAGAGGTGATCTAAAAAGAAGGCAACATCCATAACTTACAATGCGGCCATCCCCGCTACCAATGTCAACTAGGGAACCACTTCTGTTTTCCAACATTTTCAGCACATTCTGAATCTGAGCGGCGGTGGCAGGCACGAAGGGCAGGCACACCTTCCTCAGGGCCGGGGTCACGAAGGGGGTGGCCACAGCATAGAGGGCCACCAGGGCGCCCCCCAGGCCGGCCGTGACCAGCAGGCCCCAGCCGCTCCTCCGGGAGCCGCCCTCGCCCTCCTCCTGCGGGGCCTCCTTGGCCAGCGCCGGGCTCATCGCGCCTGGGGACAGACGGACAGACAGACAGTGTTTTCACTCACTTGAGGCAATTCAGTATCTTGAGCTACAACGTAAGAGATGAAAAAAACCCCACCCTACGATTCAGCCGATCCCAAGGAAACGCTACAGCTGCCGGAAAGCAGCGGCACGAGGGGGCAGGAATGCGGTTCCCATTTAAACCACCGGCCCTCCACACAGGCGGGCAGCAGCGTGCCCCGACCAGCTCAAGCGCGGCGCAGCAGGGACCTGCCCGCCTGGGGAACACGTCCCGGAGTTGCTGCTCCTCCTTTGCGGAGGAACTTTTCCCTGGGACACGGCGACACCCGCCACACACACACACTCCGAATTGCCAGTGACCAGCCCAGCCTTAGGCTCGGCCTGCAACACTTGTTGGGAAGGGCAGTACCACTTCACTAAGACGGGGTGGAGGACCGAAACCTTTCCGAAAGCGCTCCAGAGAGAAGCGCCGCGCACGCTTTTCCACCGCGTGTCTGTCTTCTCTCCTCCGCCCTTACATCACCCGGCGCAACCCGCTGCCGCCTCGCTCGGTGCCCGCGCTCGGTACGTCCTCCTATCCTTCCTTCCCTCCCCGCCCCCGTGAGCCGGGGCGTGCGGCCGCCAGCGCCGCGCTCCTCCCCTGGGCCGGGCGGCTTCCAGAAGGCTCCTCTGGGGGCGCCACAAAGCTCCCGCCCGCGAAATAAGGCGCGGCTGTAGCAGCTGCGCAGGCGCGGGGCAGTGCGCAGTGTCGCGGCGGGCGCGGCGGCTTCCGGGCGGTGCGCGCGGGCGGCGGCGGTCGGAGCAGGCGGTGCAGCCATGTCGGCCATGGGGACTCTGGCGTTTGACGAGTATGGGCGGCCCTTCCTCATCCTCAAGGACCAGGAGCGCAAGACGCGCCTTATGGGGCTGGAGGCGCTCAAGGTGAGCGAGCGGGGCGGCCGCCGGGGCCGCCCGCGGGCCCGCGCTGGCTGGGCCGCGCCATGCCGTGCTGTGCTGTACCGTACCGCGCCATGCTGCCGCGGGAGGATGGAGCCCCTTGGGCGAGGCGCTGCCGCGCTCAGCGCCAGCCCCGCCCGAGGGACAGGGCGGATGGAGCCTGGACTAGGCCCGTTAGCGGGGGAGACATGGAGGAAGAGAGAAGGCATGGCCCCGGGGCTGGGAATCCGCGGCACGGCGTGGATCCGCCCCCCGGCTGCGGGGCTTTGGGGCCGTCACCCCCGTGGGCGCAGCGCGTCCCTCCCCGTGGCTCCTGCCCCGCTCCCCGGTGCCCCCTCCCTCAGACCGCAGCCTAAAGCTCGGCCGCTGAAGGAAGGCCGGGGCTGAGTGCGGGTGGCACAAATCCCGACAGAATATGGGAGCGGACGCTGGAAGAGAGAGGTTGTGAATGCATCATTCCTGGCAGTGTTCAGGGAAGTGTATGGGGCACTGAGCAACCTGGTCTAGTGGAAGGTGTTCCTGCCCCTGACAGACGGTGGGACCTGGATGATCTTAAAGGCTCCTTCCAAGCCACACCATCCTGTGATGATTCTGTGATGGGTAAAATTGCGCTGCCATTGCACTGCCTTCTCTTTTTAGCCTTGCCGGCTTCTGTTGCTCCCTGCTTTGAGCATTAGAGCTGTCATTTGCCTGCTCTGCTTTTTAATGCTTTAGCAGAGCCAGCACAAGCAATACAAGAAAAGGCATAGGAAAAGTTTCTGTCATAAGACCAATACACACACACCGATTCTTTTTCATAGTTGTCAGTTAAATCACAACATTTGCACCACTCACTGTGTTTTCCTTCGCTTCATATTGTGATTTCAGAATGCATGATAATGATTTAACTTCTGGCTTCGTTGTCTTTTGTTTTACAGTCCCACATAATGGCAGCAAAGGCTGTAGCAAGTACTCTGAGAACATCCCTTGGGCCCAATGGTAACAGTAAAAAACTTTTAGTGTGTCTCTCTTAGTACTTGTTGTGGGGGAATTTTCAAAATTTTACTTCATCCTTTGAACACACATTTTTTAGGCTTGGACAAAATGATGGTGGACAAGGATGGTGAGGTGACTGTGACAAATGATGGTGCTACTATCCTGAATATGATGGATGTGGATCACCAGATAGCCAAACTCATGGTGGAGCTGGCTAAATCTCAGGATGATGAGATTGGGGATGGAACTACTGGAGTCGTTGGTAAGAAAGTGTTTGAAATTTAGCTTCCTTTTTCAAGTTTAAAATCAAGCTGCTTCAGCTATTAAAAAAATTGTGAGAAATAACAGTAGCTTTTCTGTAGCACTTCTTTGGAGTATTTATTGTTGCAGTATTCCTGTCAGTTCTTGTAGGAGAAATCTTCTAATCAGGAAGAAGCCTTTTGTGTCTTTTTAAAATTTGGTTACATTTTAAGGTAGTGCTGAGAGCCCTTTTGATACTTTCAAAAATTTTTGCATCATTTTCTTCTGTAGTCGCCCTGTCCTGCCTTGATGCCTGTACTTCATTTTGATCTTAACATAATGTGGTTTTCTTGCTGAGCAAATCAAATAGAGGTTTTCATGGTTTTTTGTTATTTAGGAGACCTTGAACTCATAAAATATTGCAGAAAGATCAGAAAATGTGCTTTTTAATCTGTTGTTAATGTAGTTAAAATTTTGCTCCAATCAAGAATAAAACTTTTTGGTTTTTTGTATAGTTCTGGCTGGGGCACTACTGGAACAGGCTGAGCAGCTGCTGGACCGAGGCATCCACCCCATCAGGATAGCAGATGGTTATGAGCAGGCAGCACGCATTGCTATTGAGCATCTAGACAAAATCAGTGACAGCTTCCCAGTTGATCCACAGAACATTGAGCCTCTGATCCAGACAGCAAAGACAACTCTGGGCTCTAAAGTGTAAGTCACAAAAAGTGAATATTGAATGAATATTTACCCTTCCATTGAAAACTTTCTGCTTGGAAAGGAGAAATCCTGGTGTTTTGTTTGTGTTATTGGAGTGCTGCTGAAGGCTCTTCTGTGTTTTGTTGTGGCTAATTCCTCCATGAACTCCTGTCTCAGGGTAAGAAACTGTGAATCCTTTGTCTCCAGAGGGTCAATTCCATGAAGTTAAACAACTGCAGCATCGATTTCATTCTAACCTGTAATTCCGGGTTCTGCATCATATCAGGTTCCAAAAGCAATGTGAATCTGTTCAAAATAATAACGTGTCATCTTTTGGGTTTTTTGCCGCTAAAAATATTTTAACTTAGGATGGTTCCAGAAGTTTCTTTTCCTTTCTAGGTTCTATGTGTAAATGTATAAATTCAGACGTTGGAAGGGCTTTTCCCTTGCAGAGTTGTCTTACAGGTGGTTTCTGTTTCTTGAATGTTCTTTAGTAGCAAGTTCTCCTGACTTGTTCTAAATCTGTGCTGAGACTCCATTGACAGAGGTCCCTCACACCAACCATGCTGTGTGTTCCGTTTTCTGCCATAGCCAGCACCTTCTGTTTGTATGAACAAACAAGCAGGACCCCCTCTTTTAATACAGTATGCAAAAGCTGACTGCTGTAGTGGTACTTCTTGCTGTTTGAATGATGGATAGAATCACCTTTTTCTCCCAAATGGTGGAAATGGAGTACAACTTGATTGTATTTTGTTCAAACCTAGAGTGAACCGCTGTCACCGGCAAATGGCGGAGATTGCTGTGAACGCTGTACTGACAGTGGCAGACATGGAACGGAAAGATGTTGATTTTGAGCTGATCAAAGTGCAAGGCAAAGTGGGTGGTAGACTGGAAGATACACAGTTGGTAAAAGGAGTGATTGTGGATAAAGATTTCAGTCATCCACAGATGCCTAAAGTAAGTCATGTCCTTGGTGTGTCTCGTGTGAAATGGCTTAAATAAGAGTTTCTAGCCTCCCTCAAGTGTCACCCTAGCATTTATTAAGTATTTACACAGTCTTGTGGTTTAACTTGGCTTTCCACCAATATATCAACAGAGGAAGGGGCAAGGAGCATGAAATTTTTGATATTGGAAGACATCAAGTTAGAATTTACAACAATATTGAGAAAGTGTGGTGGAAGGGAGGAATTACTGTACTGCTGAGTGAGGACAAGTGCAGGATTCTGTTTTATATAGGAATAATTATCCCTGGTGTGTGACATGCTTACTGCAAGGCTGTGTCAAGATTCTAAACCTTTATGAATTGCCCTTTTGTCCTGTTTGGAACACCCCAGAAGCTGTCCTTGTTTTATGTTTGGTGTAGGTAAGGTCTCCAAGTCTTTGAGCAGTCTACTTCAAGAAAGCTTCTACTGCTCTAAAATATTCATCTAGCAGGTACCCATGTTTATCCTGTAGAAAGGAGGACTAGTGGAAAATAATGGTCATGTAATAGTTGAAAAGTTGTTACAAAGATGAGTGGTGTTCTCAGTGGTCACAGTGGATAGGGATTGTTTCATTTCATTTTTCTTTTGTTTTTTTAAGCATTAAACAATAAAAAGGCATAACTGGTAAAGATGGTTAAGGGCTTAAACAGTGTCTTGGAGCTATGGAATTTGTTCTGGGTGGTTTATTGAGACTATTGACAGAATTATTTAGTTATATTTAGTTAACTTTAGAGTAAGTCAAATGATCTTCACATTTGCTCATGTGTTTGTGTTTATAAAGATTCATCTGTATGTTTTGCAAATTCACGGAAAAAATGTTAATGAGGTCATAAATCTTTTTTTTTAATTGCTCAGGAGCTAAAAGATGCTAAAATTGCCATCCTTACTTGTCCATTTGAACCACCTAAGCCTAAAACCAAACATAAGCTTGATGTCACATCTGTGGATGATTACAAGGCACTGCAGAAATATGAAAAAGAGAAGTTTGAAGAGATGGTGAAGCAGGTAGCCTTTAGGATTATTTCTGTTTTCTTTGTCTTTCATAGCCTTTAGAAAAAAACAGCATAGTGCATTGATTTGCTTCTGTAAATGAAGCTGCTAATCCTGGTGGGAAGCAACATACAAGCAGTTGTAATGCCGTGAATCAAAGATAATGTAATGTAAGAAAGAGATACCAGCTTGGTTCAAAATATATTTTAATCTCTGTGTGTGCCAGGGGGTTCTTCTTGAGAATTGTCTTTTGAGAAAATTGGGAGAATTAAAACCACAAAGAATGTTTTTCATTCCTTTGTTAGTTCTGATCAGAAGGTTGATGATTTGTGTTGTTTTTAGATAAAAGACACTGGTGCAAACCTTGCCATTTGCCAGTGGGGTTTTGATGATGAGGCAAATCACTTGCTGCTCCAGAATGAGCTGCCTGCTGTTCGTTGGGTTGGTGGACCTGAATTAGAAGTAAGTAAAACTGGGCTTTGCACCAGTTGTTAAAACATTTATGAAGTAATAGGCTGTACCAGCTAAAAGTTCAGGCTTTCTGGGTATCACTGCATAATTGTGTATATGGGTGGCTGTTGGAGAAAAATCATTGGGGATTCGTGAGAAAAACTTACCATGGAGGGGATTATGGTTTATAAT